AGCAACTCTTCGGGAGGAGGGACACCGTTCCAGCTTATCCTATGACCTGATACCAAGAGCAGAAAGAGAAAACACAGGAAAAGAAAACTACAGAAAAATATCCCACGTAAACAAATATGGAAAAACTCCTAATCAAATTAGTAGCAAATTAAATCCAGAAATATATAAAAATAATTTATCATGACAAACAGGAGTGTAATGCCAGGGATGTTAGGTTTGTTTAACTGTCAAGGCACAATATAATCAACACGGTTCAACAGGTCAACCACCTGAAAAAGAAAAACCACATGACCTCCTCAATAAATGGAGACAGAGCATCCTACAGAATCCATTATCATTTTCTGATAAAGGCTATCAACAAATTACGAACAGAGGTGACTTCATCAGCCTGATAGTGTATATAAGAAAACCCTATTAACAGTGAAAAGCTAAGTGTTTTCTTACTAAGGTCAGCAAAAAGGCACAGATATTTGACAATGTCCATTCAACATTGTACTGTAGGTTTTAGTCCAATAAGACAAGAAAATAATAAAGGCAACTATTGTAAAAGGAAAGAAATGAAATTATCATTTTTCACAGGTGATGTGATTGTTTATGTAGAAAAGCTTAAGGGGGAGGGGTGGTGGTGTGCAACAGCTGGTTAAAGCATCCAGCTCTCTGCTAATGCACCTGGGAAAGCAGTAGAAGATGGCCCAAGTCCTGGGGCCCCTGCACCCATGTGGGAGACCCAGAAGAAGCTCCTGGCTCCTGGCTTTGGCCTTGCCCAGCTGTTTTGGTTGCAACCATTTGGGGAGTGAACCAGTGGATGGAAGATCTGGGTGTGTGTGTGTGTGTGTGTGTGTAACTCTGCCTTTCAAATAAACCAATAAATCTTAAACAATGAGAAAGAAAAGGTTACAGGGTCTCCCAAAAAGCTACTAAAAATAGTTTTGCAAGGTTATGGGATATAAGACCAACATATGAAAGTCCATTATATTTCTATATGCTAACAAAAGTTATTGACAATTTAAATTTAGAAATGACTAATACTATTTTTTAAAGATTCATAATTTATTTCAAAGTCAGAATTACACACAGAGAGAAAGAGAGTCAGAGAGAGAAAGAGAGAGAGAGGTCTTCCATCTGCTGGTTCACTCCACAATTGACCACAACTGCTGGAGCTGCACCAATCTGAAGCCAGAAGCCAGGAGCTTTTTCCAGGTCTCCCACGCGGGTGCAGGAGCCCAAGGACTTGGGCCATCTTCTACTGCTTTCCCAGGCCATAGCAGAGAGCTGGATGGGAGGTGGAGCAGTTGGGTCTCAAACCGGCACCCACATGGGATGCCTGCACTGCAGGCAGCATCTTAACCCGCTATGCCACAGCGCCCGCCTCATGACTAATACTATTTAAAATATCATAAGGGCCGACATGGTGGCACAGCGAATTAAGCTGCCATCTATGATGATAGCATCCCGTATTGGGGCACTGGTTGGAGTCCCAGAAGCTCCACTTCAAATCCAGCTCCCTGCTAATGCACCTGTGAAAGCAATGGAAGAAGGTCTGAGTGCTTGGCCATGCCACCCATGTGTGAGACCCAGATGGAGTTTTTGGCTCCCAGCTTCGGCCTGGTCCAGCTCCAGCAACTGGGGGAATGAACTAGCAGATCAAAGATCTCTTTCTTTCTCTGTGTTTCCTTGTTTCTCTGTCATTCTGCCTTTCAAATAAATAAAATAAATATTTAAAATCAAATAAAATACCATAGACATGAAATTTAGGGATAAATTTGAAAAAATATCTAAGACTTGTACATTAGAGATTATAGAACACATCAAGTAAATACCTAAATAAATGGAAAGTTATATCTTGTTCATGAATATGAAGAAAATATTACTGAGTTGTCGACTTTCTCCATTCAATTCAATTCCAATCAAAATCCCAGCATGCTTTTTATAGTAACTGCTAAGCTTCTATGGTAATTCAAAAGACTTAGAATAGCTTGAGAAACTGTAGAAAAAAAAGAATAAAGTAGAAGTTCTTAATATGACCTGATTCAATATGTTTTTAAAAATTTTATTTGAAAGGCGGGGGGGGGGGGGGAGAGATTCATTTTCCATCGGCTGGTTCACTGCCTAAATGGCTGCAACTACCAGGGCTGGGCCGATTCGAAGCCAGGAGCCAGGAGCTTCTTCTGGGTCTCCCATGTGGGTGTAGGGGCCCAAGACTTGGGCCATCCTCTGCTGCTTTCCCAGGTGCATTAGTAGGCAGCTGGATCTGAAGTGGAGCAGCCAGGACTCAAACTGGCATCCATTAGGGATGCTGGCACTGCAGGCCGCAGCCTAACCCACTGTGCCACAGCTCCAGCCCCAATTCAAGACTTGAGAAGCTATAGTATTCAGTAATCCTACAGTGAGGCAGAAGCTACAGTAATGACAATAGTGGTACTGCCATTACAACAGGCAAACAAAAATATAACCAAATGCAACCAGCCAATTGATTTTCTAATAAAAGCAATTCAATGGATCATCTTCTCCAAATGGTGCTGGAACACCATTTCATATGGCTGCACAGCTATATGAAAGCCAAAATGAACTTGAATCCTTGGACAGGATTTATATAAAATTAAATTAAAATGGACCACAGAGCCAAATCTAAGAGTCAATTTTTTAAAGAATTATTTATTTATTTGAAAGTTGGAGTTACACACACACACACACACACACAGAGAGAGAGAGAGAGAGAGAGAGAGGTCTTCCATTCACTGGTTCACTCCCCAATTGGCTGCAACGGATGGAACTGTGCCGATCCAAAGCCAGGAGCCAGGAGCCAGGAGCATCATCTGAGTCTCCCCTCTGGGTCTCCCAGGGGCTCAAGACTTGTGCCGTCTTCTACTGCTTTCCCAGGCCATAGCTGGATCAGAAGTGGAGCAGCCGGGACTTGTACTGGCGCCCATATGGGATGCCAGCACTGCAGGCAGCGGCTTTACCCACTACGCTACAGTGCCGGCCCCTAAGAGTCAATTTTATGGTGGCTGATGCTGTGGCATAGCAGGTAAAGCCCTAGCCTGCAGTGCTGGCACAGGTTCGAGTACCATCTGCTTCACTTCCTATCCAGCTCCCTGATAATGTGCCTGGGAAAGCAGTAGAACCCAAGTTCTTGGGCCCCTACACCCACATGTGAGACTGGATGAAGCTCTTGGTTCCTAGCTTCAGCCTGGCCCAGCCCTGGCCATTATGGCCATTTGGGGAGGGAACCAGTGGCTGCAAGACCTCTCTCTCTCTCTCTCTCTCTCTCTCTGCCTCTGCCTCTCTGTAACTGTGACTTTAAATAAATAAGTATTTTTTTAAAAAGAGCCAATATTATAAAACTTCTAGAAGAACGCATAACATAAATCTTAATGACCTTAGGTTTTACAAAAAATTTCTTGACCATAACATAAAAGGCATAAACTAAGAAAATAAAAACAAATTGGACTTACTATAACGAAAAGCTTGTGCTCTTCTGTTACTTAAATGAAAAGGCAAACCTGGGAGAAAAATGCTAGCAAAAATATATATGTAACAATAGACTTACATATAGGATTTATAAAGAAGTCTTACAACTCAAAAATAAAATAAACTAGTTTAAGAAGGGCAGAGTAGGGGCCGGTGCTGTGGCACAGGTTAATCCTCTGCTTACAGTGCCAGCATCCCATATGGGCACCGGTTTGAGCCCCGGCTGCTCTACTGATTCAGCTTTCTGTTAATACACCTGGGAAAGCAGTGGAGAATGGCTCAGGTCCTTGGGCCCCTGTACCCACGTGGGAGACCCAGAGGAAGCTCATGGCTCTTGGCTTTGAACTAGTCCAGCTCTGGCTGTTGTGGCCATCTGGGGAGTGAACTAGCAGATGGAAGACCTCTCTTTCTTTCTCTCCATCTCACTATCTGTAATTCTACCTCTCAAATAAATAATAAATAAAATCTTTTTTTAAAAAAAGGGCAAAATATTGAGACAGGCATTGTGGTGCAGCAGGCTAAGCTGCCACTTGGGACGCTTGCATCCCATACTTGAATGTCTGTTCAAGTTCAGGTTCTTCTGCTTCCGATCCAGCTTCTGGCTAATGCAACTGGGAAGGCAGCAGATGATGGCCCAAGTACATGGGTCCCTGACACCCATGTGGGAGATTCAGATGGAATTCTCGGCTCTTGGGTTCATCCTGGCCCAGCTCTGGCCATTGCAAACATTTAGGAAGTAAACCAGCAGATGGAAGATCTTTCTCTGTCTGCCTTTCCTTCTCTTTGTCCTTCTGCCTTTCAAATAAATAAATCTATCTTTTAAAAATGGGTAAAATGTTTTAAAAGACAGTAACAATCAAGATGATATATAAATGATGTCTCAGCCCATTTTCCATTACTGTAACAAAATTGTGGGTCATTTACAAATCAAAGAGTTTTATTTTGACTTCACAGTTCTGGAGCTGAGAATGTCCCAGATCATGGTGCCCACATCTGCTCAGCTTCTGGTGGCACCTCATAACGTCATTGCAATGGTGGGGAACTCAGTGCATTTGTAAGGAGCACATGTGTGAGAAAGGAAGTATGAAAAAGTCAGGGAAGCCAAGCTTGCTTTAGAACAGTTCACTCACACAATAACTAATCCAGTTCTGGGAGAACGAGAAGTCACTCAAAGGGCTCTGCCTCCATGACTCAAACACCTCCCAAAAGGTGGCACACATTCCAAACCATCGCAGAGGACTGTATACGAGAAAAGATGCTCAAAGCACTAGTTGTGAGGGGCTTATACATGGAACTCATTGTAAGATACCACTACATTCATACTAAATGGCTACATTAAAAATCATACCCAGTGAAGACAAAGATATGAAGTAACTGGGACATTTTCATACTTCTGGTACAAATGCAAAATAGCACAGTTTGGAAAACAGTTTAGCATTTTTAAAATATTGAGCATCCACCTATTGTATGACCAAGTCATTCACTCCTTGGCATTCGTCCAAGAGAAATGAAAACCATGTACACAAAAGTGTGTGTACAAATATTCATAATGGTTTTATTTGAAATAGTCCAAAACTAGAAACAAATTTCCATCAATACATGCATAAACAAATTTGGGTATATCCATACAATGAAATATCATGTAGAAATAAAAATGCATGAATGAATCTAGATACATGTAAGAATACAAATGAATATCAAAATTATGCTGAATGAAATAAGCCAGAGAACCCACAATGTGATTCTACTTACATAAAATTACAGAAAATGCAAACTAATCTATAATGACAGAAAGCAGATCATTGGTTGCCTATGGATGGGGCAATGATGTGAGGAGGGCGAGTGATAGATGCATTCAATATTTTTATTGTAATTATGCTATGAAAGGTGTACATGTGTCAAAACTAAATCATATGCTTTAAATAAGTTACATTTATTATATGCTAATTATAGCTCAATAAAGCTATAAAATATATTTTGGGGACAATGGGAGAAATTTGAAAATGGACTGGATATTGGAAATCATAAAATTAGGCTGAAAATGATATCCCAGTTATGTGGGAGACTGTCCATTTTTAGCAGATGGATGTTCAATCACTTACGGGTGTAATATTAGTATCTATAACTTATCATCAATATTTCAGGAAAAATGTACATACACATTACTAAATCTAGATAAAAACTGTATGTATCTATTGTGCTGTTCTTTCAATATTTTTACAATTGAAAATGTACATAATTAAGATGTGGGAGAAATACTGTTATATTGTTTTATTGCCCATCTTCTCTGGAAATGTCCACAAGGAAGGAGAAATTCTCTGTTTTTATTATTCTGCAATGTAAATAAATCTGAGCAGATTTGTTGTTACTGTTTAACATGAAGAAAAATGAGGTTCATGGAGAACTGCCTCTGAACAGGAGGCAAGAGCCAATCACACAAACACAAAAGAATGATGACATAAAAGGAATGTAGAATGGCACAAAATGAATGCAAGATGACAAAGACACAGCTTATATCTGTGAAATTGATATCCCTGAAGAAGTGTATCAGAAAAAAAATATTAAGCAAAATAAAACTTCCCTGAAATCAATGAATGGCTCACTATAACCTAGGTAAAATTCATACACCAAAATCAGGACCAAGAATATGCTTTCATGGATTCTTATCTTCAAGAATTAAAAAAGAAGCATGAGGCAAAAAGGTACATTATATACAAGGGAAAAACAGAGCAAGTTCATCTAAGATTTCTAAATGGCATATCTCAATTTTAGAAGAGCAACATGTACCAAGCTCTTAGGAACTTGTCCCAATCAGGGAAGCATAATCACCATGAATATATGGAATAAAAGATTTAAAAATATTAATTGGATCTCACAATTTATAGAAGTAGCTGGGGAAGTAGAGGCATGGAAGGAAGAACTGGAAGGTCAGAGAAGTCACTAACTCAGCCCCTTTGAAACATTAGCATGAGTAAGAACTTTCAGGGAAATCTGAGAAGCCATGCACATCCAGCTGTCGAGGTGGGATAGTGAGAGAGAGTGGATGGAGAAATCGATGAGAAGCTGTTAGCTTTGTGTGTCTGCAGCCAAGTAACTAATGGTAGGCACGAGACTAATGCTGATCTCCAGGGCTGGGAGCTGGAAGGAAGGGTTGCAGATAGGGTAGGTGAGTGAGGAAAATTCATAACCCGCTGGCTAGCTCTGCATCTGCCCTTCACTGTATCTAATCACAAAGACTTTGAGAGTAACGGTTGCTCCTTCCTTTTGGCCTTTCAAATGTCACAAAACTTCTACTTTTGGCCAACTCTCATTTCTCAGTATAACCTAGACCACCATGGAGCAATCCAGCCCAATGACTTAATATTTTTCTATCAGAAGAGTTGCTTTATGGTGAAGTACTATTACCTGAATTCATAAATTCCTCCAGGTTTGCTCAATTGCTTTCTTTAGTTTAATTCATTTCTAAAATATTACTCATCAGTCAACAATGACCTCCTTGTCACAAAATCAAGAAACAATTTCCATCCTCATATGAACTGATCTACAGTTTGGACAAGTCCTCTGTTGAAACACTTCTCAGAAAAACTGTCTTCTGTGAATGTCACAGACAGGCTCTCAAATACCACCTCTGGCAGTTGAAAATCTGGTTGGTCTAGGGCACCTCAACTAGGATGACTGGTCACTGCTCCATCACTCTGTGAGCTATATCATCTTACAACACCACAGCCTAGACTTTTTCACATGCGGGCTCAGGATTTCCAAGAGCAGCAAGGGTGGGCAAACCTCAACGTGCAAGTACTTATGAAACTTCTGCTTGGGTCATATTTGATGATGTCCTACAGCTCAAAGAAATGTCCAAGCCCAGTTTCAAGAGCTGGAGAAATAGATTCCACCTCTTGATGGGTGAAGTGGCAAAGTCACATTGGAAAGGGGCATACAATCTGATAGTAGTGGCCAAGGGGGTAATGTCCAGACTTTTGGCTTGCCTAGGATGTAGACATCTGGAAAGAGCACTGCTCCCATCTTTACAATAAAAAAGTTGAGTAATCTATAAAATCATCTTTTCTTGGACCCACTAGAGAACTAAGACCACAGAGCAACTAACCATCTTGAAATATAAGAAAAGACAAGCAGAAAGTTATCACTGGTTACCCATGGCAGAGTAGGAAGGAAGAAGGGGCTACTATCCAAGCAGTAAGAATTCAGCAATAGTTGAATGAATTGCTGAAGACTAAGTGTAGGATGGTATAAGAATATAGAACTGCTGCCGGCGCCGTGGCTCAATAGGCTAATCCTCCACCTTGCGGCGCCGGCACACCGGGTTCTAGTCCCGGTCGGGGCGCCGGATTCTGTCCCGGTTGCCCCTCTTCCAGGCCAGCTCTCTGCTATGGCCAGGGAGTGCAGTGGAGGATGGCCCAGGTGCTTGGGCCCTGCACCCCATGGGAGACCAGGAAAAGCACCTGGATCCTGGCTCCTGCCAACGGATCAGCGCGGTGCGCCGGCTGCAGCGGCGGCCATTGGAGGGTGAACCAACGGCAAAGGAAGACCTTTCTCTCTGTCTCTCTCTCTCACTGTCCACTCTGCCTGTCAAAAAAAAAAAAAAAAAAAAAAAAAAGAATATAGAACTGCTGGCAGCTGCAGACCTAAGGGTAGTTGGCTCCCACTTGCAGGCTCTTCTCTACAGACCTCCACTTCCTGCTCACAAGAAACAGTGGGAGAGGGGAGGGAACTAGAGAAAGTCTCCCTTCATTAGGTGTAGACCTGTAAGGGGGCAGCTGCTAATACAGATATGACACAAAACCCCAGTGGGATCCTACTCTCCTATGGAACAAAAGCCTTAAGTCACTAGCAGAAATGGAGCCAACTTTGCTGCCCTCAGGACATAGGTGAGGATCCACTGTGACTAGAAGGGAAATGTAGAAAAAAAAATCTATCCATGATATAAGGGCAGGAAACCATCTTGGGCCCAGATTATTCAAAGCCTTCTACCAGGAGAAAAGAAGCAGGATTACCGAAAAAAATCCAAAGACAGGGATACAGGGCCTGACTAAAAACCGATGCTAGTCTAGGACAAGTTCTGCATCACCAGGTCAGCAAGAACCAAATAATAACAGCCATCTACTACTAAAGGAAAAGCAAGAGCAGAGAGAGAGAGAGAGAGAGAGAGAGAGAGAGAGACCCTCCTTGAGGTCTTGTGCAGGCACACAGGAAAGGCCTAATGGCAAGTGTGGTCCAAGAACATTGTGAGAAATTCTCTGGGAAACCGGTGTCTACCCCACATATCAGGTAACACAAGAGTAATTTGAAATCTGTGGTATTGAAGGGAACAACAGCAACAATAAAACCCAAACTCAGCCCAAGTCCTGACTAGACAGGCTCAATCCCACCACATTAACAGCCTAACAGAAACGCAGCCATGCCTATTTCCAGAATAAATATTATTTAACCTCAGCCTCTACTACCCTACATACAATGTCCAACATTCAACCAAAAATGATTAGATGCAAAACAGCAAGAGAAAATCACCCATTGCCAAGATACAAAGCAATAAACAAACCCATACTCTGCTGACCCAGTTATTGGAATTGTCAGGGAATTAAAAATAACTACCATTAAAATGTCAAAGGGCATTACATACTAAATGTGTATCCCAAGAATTTATATTCTGAACTCTTAATCACCAATGTGATAGTATTAGGAGGTGGAGCCTTTGAGAGGTAGTTAGGTCATGGGGATGGAGCCCTCATGAATAGGATTAGTACGCTTAAAAAAGGAACTCTAGTCAACCTTCTACCATGTGAGAATACAACGAGAAGTTGACAATCTGCAACCTAGAAGAGGGGCCTCAGATTTCCAGCCTGCAGAACTGTGAGAAATTCATTTCTGCTATTTATAAGCCACCTAGTTTTTGGAACTTAGTTACAGCAGCCCAAGACAAGACAAAGGGGTAGTGGAGAACATGAACAAGCATGAAGAGATGGAAAATTTCAGTAGGAATATGAGAAATATAAGAGTCAAATGGAAATAAAAATTATAAAACATGACTAAGACGAAGAACGCCTTCAATGGATCCATAAGTAGACATGACAGAGCCAGGGTGGGGGGAAAATCAGTAATTTTGTAGACAGATGAAAAGATATTGTCATAACTGGAACACAAAGAGAAATGACTCAAAAATGGGAACACATATAGGGGTAGGAGAAATTTGTAGAATTTTTCTAACACAATGTGCCTATGGTCACAAATTATTCACATTACTACTCCATGCAAAATACATTCACCCCCACTCCAGGACCTCCAAATGTCTCATTCAAAATTATGACATGAGGCTCAAATCCAGGATTTCAAGTCTTCTGTATCAGGTTCAGATATGGCTGGAGCTCCTTGGGTACAGCTCCTGTTTCTTGATTCAGACACCTATATGCTAAATGACAAGTTATATGACCCTCTTCCCAACACACACACAAAATATATACACAATGGTGATGTAGGGACAAGATAGCTGCAATAACTTTCATTCAAAATGAGAAGGAACAAGAGGTGCCTGTTAGTCACTGTTCCATAACAATTCTGAAATCCCAGAGAAATATTTTTAGGTTTCCCACTTCCAGGGAAAATGATTTTTTTTTTTGGATTAGGGCACAGTTCTCTCTAGGAATGGCTTCCTAGTCCATTTTGACGCATTGTTCTTGAGTCTTCCCTCTGAGATGTCCTTTACTTCCCATAAGGAATGGCCCATGATTGCAGATGAGTAACTTTCTTGGCTTGTATCCTGTTGACAGAAGTTAAAGAGGAGAGTCTAGGAGGCTACCTTTCAGTTTGAAAGGCTTCAGTCCCTTTAATCCCACATGGAGGTAGTTTCACTGGTGAAACTCAACAAGGAACATGATGGGTTTCCCATGAATCTGGTTTGGATCTACTCCATGCTCCAAAGGCCTCTTTCTATGTTGAGTAGTGTGTCAAGTTACTGTGGGACAATGTTGTAAAGATATTCAGAAGCCCTTCAGTGTAGCTGAGAGTCCTCCAAGCACCAACTAGGGTCTTAACACACACATGATTTGATCCTAAGGCCATATTTTTTAACCTTGAAAATTTTTGATGGCTGGAGAGGTTAGTAATGTGAAACAGTTATTTTCCAACCCATTAAGTACTAAATATTCTGTATTTCTTCTGAACTCCGCTTGCCAATGGCACAATTATTACTTTAGTTCATCTCTGTACCTTTTCATATGAGCAAACTGACACTACCATATACTGGCAAATCTATTTAGCCAGATGCCTAAGTGCGTTTGGTACATTCTCTTATCTGTCTACATAGCATGGTCACTGCTTTGGCAGTGTTTCCTTACCAAATTACAAGGACTGCTATTTTTTTGAGCCTTTATTAACAGTTTCCTCACTGTTTTTCCAGTCTCCATCTGCATCTAGGCCCAAAGCCAATACCACTTGTGTTAACGATTTAGTATAATATCTCTGCCAAAATACACTTTCAAGTATGACTTAGCGCTTTCTATGCAGCAAACTAGACCCAAACGTAGTTGCTTAAGATGATAATGATTTTATTTCACAATTTTGCAGGTTGGCTTGGCTGCCTTGGCTGGGGCTGGAGGTCTAGGAAGGCCCATTCCTATGTCTGATGGTTGGCAGGCTACTTAGTTTGAAGGGCCCTCAGCCAGGTTGGCTTGCCTCTGCTCTGTGTGGGTTTTCATCCCACAGTAGACAGTAGAGTGATCTGAGCTTCCTGACATAGAGATCTCTGGATTTTAATGAGCAACAAGACAGTGCAAGCCTCAGGCAGTCTTCTCACACTTCTTGAGCCTCTTTTTAATGTCCATTGGCCAAAGTAATTTACATAGCGAAGTTCAAAGTCAAGCAGTAGAGATGCCACCTCTTAATAAGAGAAACAAGAAAGTAACATTGCAAAAGGACATGCATAATAGAATGAGAGAAATCTGTGGTGATTATGCATTTTTCGCACAGTGAAAGAAGGTAAGAACATTATGCTATGGAAACCAGTATGAATGATAGGATAATGTGTAAAATTATACCTGCAGATGTGTGTGCATGTAAAACCAAAATGACTTCTCAATTATGGATTCACTTGATAGAAATGTTCTGTAAGAAACATATCTGACATATTTGATAAAATTATTCTAAATTTGAAAAGAGAATTTTACTTAAACCATTTCTGTTGTTGTGCAATGTGTTCTGCCACAAATGCTCTATGGAACTAAGAATAGGTCTATATGTCAAATAGATTATTGTTTCAACTTTCATTTTGTCACTTTAAATTGCTTAATATAACACATTAAACATGATTATCATTTATGTAAGGTTGCCCTCTCCTTCCTATAAGAATTTGGTAACAATTCACCTTATGATCACCATCCCTTGGAATCACTGGGGATTGGTTCTAGGAACCTCCTGTGGATACCCAAATCCATGGATGCTCAAGTCCCTTACACAGAATGGCACACAGCTTGTATATAAGCTATGCACATCCTCCTGTATACTTTAAATCACCTTTAGATTACTTATACAATTACTTAATACAATGAAAATGCTAAGTTGTTATACTGAATTATTTAGGGAATAATAACAAGAAAAAAATTTGTGCATATTCAGTATAGACACGTTATTTTTTAGAATATTTTTGATCCAAGGTTGGTTGAACTGGTGGATGTGGAATCCGTGGACACAGAGGGCTGACTACTTTCTCAAGGAAGGCTTTTCCTCATGCATCAAAGGGACAGTAGTTTTCCTGGCATGAATTCGGCTATATTTTGTGAGGCTGAACAAAAATGGCAATTCCTTCTCTCTCAATGCATTCTTAGAGAGTCTGAGCAATTCTTCTTATCTCAGGTGAGACAGCCTGATGAATGCAACTCACTCAGACAGATCTGCCTTGGAGGAATTTTCTAACACATATTTGGACCTGACTTGTGCTATAAGGTGCTCTCATGTTCAAGTACTGGGCTTGCTTTCAGGTATGAATATTGCGATGCATACTGAGAACTGATTTCTGGGTAAAGCCCTTTCCGCATTCATTGCATTTATAGGGCTTCTCTCCAGTGTGAATGGTGTGGTGTTTGTTGAAATTCGACCTGTCGGTGAAGGCCTTCCCACATTCTGCACATATATAGGGTTTCTCTCCTGTGTGAATCCGCTGATGGACTTTGAGATGTGGTTTCTTGGAGAAGGATTTCTCACAGTCAGGGCACTTATAAGGCTTCTCTGTAGTATGAATTCTCTGGTGTGTGATTAACTCTGCCTTCTGGATAAAGGCCCTCCCGCACTCGGCACAAACGTAGGGCTTCTCTCCAGTGTGGATGGTCTGGTGTTTGTTGAAGTTCGACCTGTCGGTGAAGGCCTTCCCGCACTCAGCACATATGTACGACTTCTCTCCGCTGTGAGACTTCTGGTGGGTGTTGAGATTGGACCTGTTGGTGAAGGCCTTCCCGCATTCCGTGCAGATATAGGGTTTCTCTCCCGTGTGAATTCGCTTGTGCATCTGGAGTTGTGACTTGGAAGGGAACGACTTCCCACAGTCGCTGCATTCGTAAGGCTTCTCTCCAGTGTGAATTCTTTGATGTGCAATCAAGTGGGCTTTCTGGATGAAGGCCTGCCCGCATTCAGTACATATATAGGATCTCTCTCCCGTGTGAATCCGCTGATGCATCCTGAGTGTCGATTTCTGGGTAAAGGCTTTTCCACACTCACTGCACTTGTGATGTCTCTCTCCGGTGTGGATTTTCTGATGTATGCTGAGGGCTGAGTTGAGGGAGAAGCCTTTCCCACATTCACTGCATTCGTAGAGTTTCTCTCCAGTATGAGTCGTCTGATGCCTGAGCAGAGATGACACCTGGAAAAATGACTTTCCACAGTCACTGCACTTGTAGGGTTTCTCCCTAGTATGGATTTTCTCATGCATCATTAACTCTGAATTCTGGATAAAGGCCTTGCCACATGTAGTACATACATACAGCTTTTCATCTTTATGGACTCTCAGATATATACTGAGCAGTGGCTTCTGGGTATAGACATTCACACACTTGCTGAGTTCGCGAGCTTTTTCTACGGTATGAATTCTCTGGGGTGCAAAGAGGCGTGACTTTTGGGTGAGGATCTTCCCCAATTCACTACGTGTGTTTGCTTTCTCTGCAGCAGGAAACTTCAGATTTTGACTGAGTGTGTGTTTGAGGTTGAGCACTTTGCCACACTGATTGCCTTCGCAGAACTTCCCTCCTGTGTGCATGGTTTCATGGCTAGCGTAAGAAGAGCCCTGGGTGAAAACGTGACCATGTCCAATAATTTTATCGAAGTTCTTTGCTGCACTGCTTTTACTATGAATATGCGGGTCTAAATCATGCTTCAAGCGCTTCCCAAATGTGTCACGTTTATGTGGTCTCCTCTGTGAAGGAAAAAGGTTTGGGTTTGGAGGAGCACATTTTCCAATGTCTTTATATTCACAATCCCACTCTGCATTCATTATTTTCTTAGTGATGAAAGCAGCATGGACCGGAGGTGTGGTGTGCTTTTCCTGGCATCTCTTTATCTGTTCAGCACCTTGCCACAGTTCTAACACGGAACACAAGGACTCATCTCTTGTAGCTTGGCCCTCTGTTTCTCTGTGAAATGGAGCTTTTCCAGAACTTCTTTTTAGAGAAGCTTTAATCCCATCTAAAAAGAGAAAGGAAGAGTAAAATTGACGTAAGAATAGACAGCATTAAGACAAAAAGGACCACATCAGTTAATCCAAATTGAACAAGTGGAAATCCTTCAATGTGATAAGTATTTTAGTCACTATATCGTACAATCTCTTTATTACTGCAATTACCTTGGATGTAGTTCATATGCAATTCTTGCTGAGATTGTCACAGGTGTTTCCAATACCATTTCAGTGCCTAAGACATATTTGATTCATGATAAATAATTTTTAAATAAAAATATTTAATTGGCTTAGTCAGTGAGAGATTTCAATTAATTATTTCATTTTAAATTTGTCGACTAACATGTAATACTCTATGAGACACAGTATAATATTTCAATGCATATACACAGCATAAACTGATCAAACCAGGCAAGTAGGCCTTTCAATTTTCTTATCTTTTCTTGTGTTTGGAGCGCACCAGCTCCTCTCCCAGTTCTCTACACAGCATGTAATACCTGATTGTGAACTTCAGTAACCCCACTATGCTGCAGTCATCCTCCTATTCTGAATTTGTTTCTGTATTCTTATACATTTGGCTTCAACATATTCTGAAAATGTTAAGCACTGACTTCCTAAGCATGGTTTTAGAAGCAGTTCTGCTTTGTCATTTAGTAACTTCTCTTTTTTAAGATTTCTTTTATTTATTTGAATGTCAGAGTTAGAGAGAGGTGGAGAGAGCTTCCATCTGCTGATTCACTGCCCAAATGGCTACAATGGAAACGGCTGGGCCAGACCAAAGCCAGGAGCCAGGAGGTTCCTTCAGGACTCCACATGGGTGCAGGTGCTCAAGCAGGTGCATTAGCAGGGAGCACCCAGGACATCAACCAGCACCCATATGGGATGCTGGCATTGTATGCTGCAGCTTTACTTACTAAGTCACAATGCTGGCCCCTCAATTATTAAATTCTAAGCTTATGGCTGTACCAGATAAGACTGAGATCACTAGTGCCAGTGCTTACTGTAAAAAGTTTGCTCCCACAATAAAGGCTTTTTTTTTTTTTACAGGCAGAGTGGACAGTGAGAGAGAGAGACAGAGAGAAAGGTCTTCCTTTGCCATTGGTTCACCCTCCAATGGCCACCGTGGCAGGCGCACCGCACTGATCCGATGGCAGGAGCCAGGTGCTTCTACTGGTCTCCCATGGGGTGCAGGGCCCAAGCACTTGGGCCATCCTCCACTGCACTCCCGGGCCACAGCAGAGAGCTGGCCTGGAAGAGGGGCAACCGGGACAGAATCCGGCGCCCCAACCGGGACTAGAACCCGGTGTGCCGGCGCCGCAAGGCGGAGGATTAGCCTAGTGAGCCGCGGCGCCGGCCCTGGCCCCTCAATTATTAAATTCTAAGCTTATGGCTGTACCAGATAAGACTGAGATCACTAGTGCCAGTGCTTACTGTAAAAAGTTTGCTCCCTCTCCTGAGTCCACCGATTCTACCAACAGTACACAGATGAAGAATCATCAGTCTAGAAAAAAAAAAAGATACTCCTATAGGCTTATATTCTACTCGCCACTCGTAAAAATGCCTCAAGTCAGTCTGATTGATTCCCAAGTTAAAGAATATGTCATGGCCTCTTCCTCCACGAAGCCTTTTTAGCATTTTCTTCTATGCCATTAAAAAAAAGGTATGTGTGCTTCATGAAGCAGTTCAAGAATATTTTACTTTGAAAATTTATCTGATCACAATACTAGTAAGACATTTTTCCTTTTTTTTTTTAAAAAAAAGATTTATTTGAAAGGCAGAGTAAGAGAGAGAGAGAGAGAGAGAGAGAGAGAGAGAGATCTTATATCTGCTGGCTCATTCCCCAAATGGCCCCAACCAACCAAGGCTAGACCAGGTCAAAGCCAGGAACCAGAAACTCTAGCTGAGTCTCCCTTGTGGGTGGCAGGGCCTAAGCACTCGGACCATCTCCAGCTGCTTTCCCAGGTGCATTAACAGGGAGCTGGATTTGAAGTGGAGCTACCAGGACTCAAACTAGTGCTCCAATATGGGATGTAGGCACTGCAAGCAGTGGCTTAAACCACTGTGCCAGCACACCAGACCCAAGACTTTTTTTCTGAACTTAAGCAGACGTTCTCTATGCTATTCACTTTGCTAATAATTTTAATGGACTTCTATTACAACAGAAACACTCTACACAAATATAAACTTTCAAATATGATACCATTGTCTTTACTTTCCAATAACAATCTGTGTTCCATTGAATTGCTCTCAGAATTAAAAAAAATCCTTCTGAGAGCAAAAATACTCTTCTATTCTTATCCCCCACAAATTCAATTAGTTACTATTAATATAAGTATCTTCTTCATGCTTAGCATTTGAATAATGAAAGTAAGACAGAAGCTCTTATTTTCAGAGACTTATCAAATTATTAGGGGCAAAAGCACCTGGCATATTGGGAAACAGAAATGAGGATGAGCAAGAAATTTGGCATAGGCAAGGCCATTTCATGGGTGACATCCTGAACAAACATGCACAACTGAGTATTATCTGGATAGTAGAGCACAAAATAATAAAAAGACTGGATGTAGGGGCAAGCTTCAGTCATGGCAGGCATTGAAGACAAGATGAGAAATTTAAGGAAAGCATGAATTGAGGAAACTATACAGATGTTGATTTTAAGTTAGAAATAATGGCCATGTGAGAGACAGCACTGAGAGAAGAGTTACTGGTCCTGTGTAATATAATATGCAGTATGTGTAAGTTTATGCCATAAAGTTAATGACAAAGACAACTGCAACTTTTTTTTTTTTTGACAGGCAGAGTTAGACAGTGAGAGAGAGAGATGGAGAGAAAGGTCTTCCTTCTGTTGGTTCACCCCCCAAATGGCTGCTACGGCTGGCACGCTGCGCCGATCCGAAGCCAGGAGCCAGGCACTTCCTCCTGGTCTCCCGTGCGGGTGCAGGGCCCAAGCACTTGGGCCATCCTCCACTGCACTCCTGGGCTACAGCAGAGAGCTGGACTGGAAGAGGAGCAACCGGGACAGAATCCGGCGCCCATATGAGATGCCGGCGCTGCAGGCGGAGGATTAACCAAGTGAGCCATGGCGCCGGCCCAGTGTATGATTTTAATCCTTTGAAATTTGTTTTGACTTTAGTCCCCCCAAAAATCTATTTTGGTGAGTGTGTTATGTGCATTTGAAAATGATGTTTACTCTACAGTTGTTGGATGTAGGTAGTAACCTGTGCATGTCAATTAGGCCATATTGGCTGATTATGTTCAAATCCACCTTTTACAGTTTCTTTTGTCTGCTTATACTACCAGTTATAGAGAGAGGTATGTTAAAATCTCCAACTATGGGGCTGGCACTGTGGCACAGTGGGTTAATGCCCTGGCCTGAAGCACCAGCCTCCCATATGGGCACTGGTTCGAGACCCGGCTGCTCCACTTCCCATCGAGCTCTCTGCTATGGCCTGGGAAAGCAGTAGAAGATGGCCCAAGTCCTTGGCCCCCTGCATCTGCGTGGGAGATCTGAAGCGGCTCCTGGCTCCTGGCTTCGGATTGGCGCAGCTCTGGCTGTTGCAGTCAGCTAGGGAGTGAACCAGCGGATGGAAGACCTCTCTCTCTCTCTTTACTTCTCCTTCTCTCTGTGTAACTCTGACTTACAAGTAAATAAATAAATCTTTAAAAAAAAAAGAAATTAAAGACAGTCTCACAAAGACAACTTTAGATGACTCAAATGAGTTCAATGGTGAAATTTAACATATATTTAGTAAAAATTATAAAATTTCAGGTAATTTTATACAAAATCATAAAACAGGAGAGTAAACATTGAAAACTTCCAACAAATATAGCAATTTCACATAAACTCAGAAAACACAGCAGGTATGAAATTTCAAAACTCATTTTATAAGATTAGCATTAAAAGGATAGCAAACTTAAAGTTATTATAAGGGAAAAAAACCTAAAGACTACTATCTCTCATAAACATGGAGATTAATTACCTTAACAAATACTAGCAAGAATCAAGAAATACATAAGAAGGTAATATACAAGCTGGCGCCACGGCTCACTAGGCTAATCCTCTGCCTTGCGGCGCCGGCACACCGGGTTCTAGTCCCGGTTGGGGCGCCGGATTCTGTCCCGGTTGCCCCTCTTCCAGGCCAGCTCTCTGCTGTGGCCCGGGAGTGCAGTGGAGGATGGCCCAAGTGCTTGGGCCCTGCACCCCATGGGAGACCAGGAGAAGCACCTGGCTCCTGCCATCGGATCAGCGCGGTGCGCCGGCTGCAGCGCACTGGCCACGGCGGCCATTGGAGGGTGAACCAAGGGCAAAGGAAGACCTTTCTCTCTGTCTCTCTCTCACTGTCCACTCTGCCTGTCAAAAAAAAAAAAAAAAAAAAAGAAGGTAATATACCATGACCAAGTACGGTTTATCCTAGGACAGCAAGGTCAATTTAACATCTAAAATTAGTGAAATTCAACACATACTTTTAAGCAGGGTGAAATGGTTATCTCAATAAAAGAAGAGAAAGTACTGAGAATGGGCCTGTGTTGTGGTGCAATGGGTTACGCCACTGCTTGTGATGCTAACATCCTGTATCAGCCAACTGATTTTTGACAAGTGGTCCTGGCTGCTCTGCTTCCTATCCAGCTCCCTGCCAATGCACCTGGGAAAGCAGTGCAAGATGCCCCAAGTACTTGGGTCCCTGCCACTAATGTCAAAGACCTGGATGGAGCTTCAGACCTGGCTGTTGCAGCCATTTGGGGAATGAACCAGCAGATGGAAGATTCTCTCTCTCTCTCTCTAACTGTGCTTTTCAAATAAATAAATACATAATTAAAAAATATCTTATCAAACTACAGATCCCTATTACCATCCAGTCATGTTAAATATACTAATCACCAAAGAGAAAGAAATTGCAACAAATTAATAAAGAGTATGTGAGAAAAACCACAGTTATTACATACACTTAATGGTAAAAGACCAAAAGCTTTTGCCTTCAGGTTGAGAAAAAGATAAAATAAAAATAAAGAG